AGGCTCAGCTCAGAAGCCAGGAAACACAGCTCTGGATGGGCTTCTCCGTGGTTCTTGAAGTACTCAGAAGCTGAAACTGTCCCAGGGTTTGGGGGATGACCTGAGTGACAATGACCTTTATATCCATGATTCCAGTGCAAATCTGAACCTATCCTGATAGAGCCTAAGGAAAGCGTTTTTAACAGTTCAGAGTCCTGTCCTTTTGGAAGGCAGTCTTGGTTCTCCCATGTTAGGGTGGAGTGACTCAGAACAATTTTACAGGCAACCTAACGGTGAACGTTCAAGTTGAGAAGCCATGGAAGAGTAAACTTTGTTCCTAGGTGGATAGCGCCACCTGGCTATAGTTGGTGAGTTGAGGTCTGAAGGCAGTACGGTGGCGTGCATGGCTCTGTTTGGCTGGCGGGAGTTGGGGGGAGGATTGTCACTAGCTTGTCCCAAATGAGGTCTGAGCAGTGCATAGTGTTCTACGCTACCCCTGGTTCTAACCCCCGATACACCTCTGGTCACACTGTCTGGAAAACTTGTCCCTCAGTATACTTCTCAGAGAATGAGGGGCCAGTCGCATAATCTTAAGATAATGTGAAGAAGTGCGCTTAGGTCTACAATACCGGTGGCACCCCTCACTTTCCCTCACCTAACTGAATGGAACAGAGTAACGGAGATGTAGGCTTCCTTCCTTGTCTTAATGAACTCTTCCAGCAGGAGGCAGCACGAACTTGAGTATTGCAGCTGGAAACTCAAACCTCTCCTATAGAGAACCTGAGATTACGGAACAAATGACCGCTCAAAAGTCTTCCTTCAGAAACCAGCGCCCTGAGCTATGGCCTCTGAACAGCTCGGGGAAGGAGGGGTTCACTTCCAGTCTGGCCGTGGAGTCCCCTCTCTCCCTACAGACTATTTGCCAAGTCATATTCTTTGGAATGTGTACATTCAAGAAAACCTAATCTTAAGGGGTTATACTTTCCCCCAATTAATCTGCCGTTTCCTCACCTTCTCATGTTGATTTAACCTGCTGCAGATGAGGAGGGAGGCTTTGTTCTAGTTATTTCCAGAAACAGAGGTATCTACTGCCTGTCACTGGGGAGCTGGCTCTTCCTTGCGGGATTCATGGTCCCATAGCAAGAGGCACGTGTCCTCTTGCAGGGCAGGGAGGGTTGGCTAAGTTCTGAACCTTATTTTGAGGAGGCCAGGTTTGTGATTTCAGCAATGAAAGCTGAGTATACAAGACAAGAATCCCGCAAAGCCTCAATCCCTAAACGTATGTTACCCCCGCGACGTCAGCACCTGGAAAGTAGAGCTTTGTTGTGCCCACTGCTCTGGTTTTTAAAGATTTTATTTATATGACAGAGAGGGGAGGGAGAGAGAGAGAGAGAGAGAGAGGGCGCACAATCAGGGGGAGTGGGAGAGGGAGAGGCAGGCTCCCTTGCTGAGCAGGGAGCCCAACGCGGGGCTCAATCCCAGGACCCTGTCAAGACTTGAGCCAAAGGCAGGCAGACACTTAACCGAAGGTGCCTCAGGGTTGGTCTTTTATAGAAAGCTAACCAGGGAACTTAAATCCTTAACATCTCTATTGATAACACCTTCAATGGCTTACTTCCTTTTAGGGTGTGGTTCTTTGTTGGCCACAGGTGATTATCATAAAGACACCCACCCCCACACGACCCATCCCGCACCCTGCACGCCTAGGGGAGGGTGGTCCTCCATCCCGAACATTCCTTGGTTTTCACCCTCATCCCCATCCCCTAATTCTGAGCAATCCACTGAACATCTGAAGAACTGCCTGGTTCTAGTTACCTTCACCTGATTCACCTCAACACGTCTGGCACTGCCTTATACTTCCAACTGACATCCTAGTTGTCTAGGGCTCGGAATCTACAGAACCCAGACCTCAGTTCCAACCAGTGTGGTATAAAGAGCATGCATGGGCTTTGGAGCTGGACAGACAAGCTGGAATCCTAATTCTGACGCACAGCCACCAGGGACGTAAGTAAAATGGGAATAAAAAAACTACCTTAAAAAAAAAAAAATCTACCTTGTTTTTGGGGCCATGAATAAGATTGTAGTAAAGCTCCAGGCATACAAAAGGCATTCAACCAATGGCTTTTTTCCCAATAATCTAATCTTAGGCTATCTAAATTTACCTTGCCCTACAAGAACACGCTGGAGCCTCACATGATACTCCTACGCACACTCCCTCAGTTTCCCCCACAGCCCACCCTGCCTTCACAATCTTCAACAGCTCAGGTCCAGCTTCACTCCACTTACAAGCACTTCACCATGCCTCCTCGGATTTTGTCCTAAGGTGGTGGGCTTGACATTCTGTATTGCCTCAAGGTCCAGCAACTTGCTGGGTATGCATAAGAGGCTTAGCAAAGCCTTGTTAAATCAGACTGAGGTTGGATTTAGCTGGAAAAGACCACTTGCGGGTGTATGCATGAACCCTGCCCCCTCCAGAGGTACTGGTTTTCAAACCAAGGGATTTCTTGCTTGGCTGTGCCCTTGGGCCCTTCCTTGAGTCACGTCCATGGTGAATGTCTCACGAAAGGCCGCTGGTAGAAAGATGACCTTGTCTGGCTTCCTGGGAGTCTGAGGGATGCCCACAGCTGTGCCAACAGCAGCAAGGAGGTTGGAAAATCACTGGCGCTCAGGTCCCTACTGAACTCGTGCTCCCTGGGAACATTCCCCAAGGTTCTGGTTCCAGCCTTCTCGCTGTTTACTCGGTGCAACTGCTAACCCCGCGTTCCCATCCAACCTCTCTTCTGGGCTACCCAGCCCAGACACCTCCCACACGTCTCTCCTCCTTCCACCAGGTGCCATCAAGCCTCCTTTCCCAGGAGAGAGTATTTCAGACTCCACTGTCCTGATTCAGCCTCTTCATCCACACGCGGAAAACCCAACGGCTTTAACATTCCTCCAGCTACACTGCTCTTGGTCCCTGCACATACATCTGCCATTCTTGACCCAGGAAGGCCTTTCCTAAATAGGGTCCTATAAAGTCCCTCCTCTTCTCTGAAGGTTTCTCAGATTCCCTTAACCTATGGCATCTGCACAGTTACCACCCACTGGACAACCACAGAAGTATCGCTTTATGACGTTTCTAGGTGTCCTATCTGCAGCACCTCGCATCTCCAGACCAGGTTGTAATACCTCAGGCACACACACCACGGCTTAAAACACTTCTTTGTATTCCCTGGCTCACAGCATGTGGCAGTGGTCCCCCAGTTGTCCCCACGTTCCCAAGCCAAACTCTGATTGTTTCCTAGGGCATCCCACAAAAGCTTTAATAAGACTCAGTACACGGGGATGTTAAATTGGGCCATGGGAGCCTTCTCTCTGTCATAGATCTTCACCATTTCATAGCACCCAGCTAAAATGATGCTCAAGAGAGGCGCCTGGGTGTCTCAGTCAGTTAAGCAACTGGCTCTGGATTTCTGCTCAGGTCATGATCTCAGGGTCCTGGAATCAAGTCCCACCCCCCTTCCCATCAGACTCTGTGCTCAGCGGGGAGTCTGAAGATTCTCCCTCTCCCTCTATACACCCCCACCCATCCTCGCTCTAAATCTTTCAACACCTGGGTTTTCTGGAGGATACTTGTGTTCACTGGGAAAGGCATACAACTTGTAAATGATTTTCTTATTGTCAGAAAAGCCTATTTTTTACCCTCTCTTGGACTGTAAGATGTAGGACCAAGGGGAATGGAATTATCATGTAGACTTGTGAGCAAGACCTCAGGTTGGATGCTTTTACTGGAAAGCTGAGGGACTGGGAAGGCTGATTGGTCTCTATCCCGATCCTAGTTGGAGCTTTAGTTGTCTTTGCTCTGGCAGTGGCCCCTCAGTCTTGCTTTCTATCTATATGCAAAGAGTATGCTGTGTGCCTGAAGCCAGCATGCCACTAGGGCTGGGCCCTTCCACATGCCCTCCCCAGGCACACGGATTCCAGCTGCCTCCAGAGTCCCTGTGAGGGGAGGGGACTCCAACTCAGCTGTAGGAAAGGCCAGGCAAAGGACTTGGCCACTAAGGCCTGCTGCTCCCCAAATGGCGGCTTGACAAGTGCTAGTAGTCCAGAACTGTAAGGTCATTGTAACTGTAAGCCATTGCCTCTTGACCAAAGGCCATTCACCCCCGCATATCCTGTAATGAGAAACACCTGCTATTTTTCAGCAAGCCCTCTGCCCGCCATTCAAGACCCCTAGAAACCTGGCCCTTCTATGGCCATTTATAAAAGCCGTCCCCACCCACACAAATCGCCGGCTCTGGCTAAAGTGGGCAACTTGACGTCTAAAGTGGGCAACTTGACGTCTAAAGTGGGCAACTTGACGTCTTGTGCTTGAATGCCCTGGTTCTCCAAGACCATTTGACCTTGGCAATACTGGGCCCCTGCCTCTCCTCAGCCCACTCCTTCGCAGGAGCCCAGCTGCAGCATCACCTCCATGAGGTCTCTACTTGCATGGACCATTCTCTGGTAACCAATCCTATACAATCTTTTATACTACCTTTCCTTCTGGGCAAATCTTACGCTTCAGTGAACTCCTCAAGGCAGAGCCCTTGTCTCATGTTTGTGTCCCCTGGGGAGCTCACACAAAGGGATCACTGGACAAATATGAGGGGTGCATAGGTCAAAGACACACTATATCATCCAAGGCTCAGGTTCTTCCCTTGGACTCTTGCAGGGAATGGGCCACAGAACGAAGGGGACGGGGTCACCTGACAGGCTTGGGGGACAAAGCCCGGAAAAGAAATAGCACCCACCACTTAATAACAGGAGCTAGAGGGCAGCACACAGCTCAAAGCCAGTCCCATCTGTCGTTTACTGGTGTGCGTTTTACTTCTCTGAGCCAGTCTTCCGACCTGTACAATGAGGATAACAGTCTACTTACCTTCTAGGTTCAGTGTGAGAATCAAATGAGATAACATATAGGAAAGTATTTAGAAGTACCAATAGTAGTTGGTGTTAGTTATCCATATGGAGTTGAAAAGAGCTCAGACAGGGGCCAACTGTTGGCCCTAGGGCAAAGGTGGCTTTTATTTCCTCTCTTGGGGAAGAGGGGGGAGGGGAGTTTTCCCACACACACCAACCTAAGGAAGGGGTGGGTGCGCCCCCAGAGGATGGGGCTGGAAGAGCTGAAGGGCTCCTCCACATCCAATGCTGGCCCTGGGTTGCAGGGTGTGCTCATGAGAGTCACTCCCATTAGGGTGGCAGCTTCTGCATGAATGAAGGCACATGGAGGTATCCGCTGGTGTTCACAAAGAGGAAGGGGGAGAAGGTGCCCTGAGAGAGGGAGCAGAGAGTCAGGATGGCCAACCCCATGCTCAACGCCTGCCCAGGATGAGGACTCGCAAAAGGCCTGACTGGTGTGACTTCTCTCCCGAGAAGGGCCGGGGGGGGGCCCAGAGGCACTGCTCGATTCAATGGCTGGTCCTTTAAATGTCCATCTCAAACTGTGACTCTTCACCTGGGGAGAGAAAGGACAGACGGCCAGGTAAGCAACAGGTGAATGGTAGGTCTCACACTTTAGAGGCCAGGGAGAGGTGTTAATTTTCATTTTGTTGTTCCTACAAGGGTAGGGGCCAAGGGAAATGGAGGGAGGGCAGGACTCCACTAGGAATTCCTGGAAACAGGCCTGAAGGTCCAGCTGTGTTCTCTTCCCTAATCCTAAAGGAAGAGCAGAGACTGGGTCTCCCCACAGGAGAAGTGACAGTCTTGAATTTTTTATAATTTTTATCGTTTTTAACAAGAGTGAATGGTTACTTGGCTTTGATATAAATACAACCTCACAGAAGAATGTTCCTTAAACATAAACCTTTTTTGAGCATGTGTCCCAACCTTGGTTTAGAAGATGGTAATACAACCTACTAGGCATATGTCCAACTGTCAACAGAATAGCCTGACTCTGAAGTAAAGGAGTTATTTTGATAATTCAGCTACTCACTGCCCTCACCCTCACTCTTTCCACAAAAACCTCCAAGCAACTCACGCTGCAGGAGGTTGTTTTCTTTAATGGAGCTGCCTCATTCATGATCTCCTGGGTAAGGCTGCTTTGAGTTCTATATACCAAGATGCCCACCCTGGCCCCCAGAGGGAAACTGACCACATCTTCTGGTTATATTTACACAAATACATGGTCCGAGGCTAGGAGCTTTGGCTAATATCCTATTAAGCAAAATGAAAAATTATGTCCATCCCTCACCATCACAACGGAACTCTTAGGCCATTATTGTGGGTTCAGGGTTGGTCAGCCTGGGGCACCTCTGGGCCAACCGTGCATTTGCTATGGGTGAACACAGCTCCAGAAACTGGGAGGGGTTTGGCCCAGCCGTCAGGTAGTGATGGTTCCACAATGTCAGGTGTGACTACCTCCATCCTCGACTTCTGGTCTTTGGTTTGAGGCAAAAGGGGTGGGTGGGAAGCACCATGGAACTGACCACATGAATCTATTCATCCTTCTCTGCATCCTTTAATGAAAGGCAGGTGACCACACTGCCTGGAGCTGTCCTTCACACTGCTCCATGTGTGCCCAAGTACACCTCCCCGCCTCCCTCCTTCCCACTGTTCTCCAAGTCTTCAATGCAAGGCAAAGGCTGCCGGTCAGGGGCTGTGGGGTTTCCAGGGTAATTATGAATCACATCCTACAGACCCTGGGTAGATAGACCCTGCTGCTGTCAGCAGGGCCAGTCCAGCCTGAGGTCCCAGATGCTTCCTCTCTGGCCTTGGTCCACTGCCTTCTGGGTGAAGGGTCATCAGGTTCCAATCTGACTCAGGTTGTCTGCAAGTGCTTACACCTCATCCTCCCACAGCGGGAGAGCTGAGATGCTCTGGCGAGCTAGTCATGATGCCACACAGAGTGCATTCACACACACAACCTCCACTGGGGTGGTCGCTCTGATTTAGGGGAAAGGTGAGATACCAGGAAGGACCTAGCCACCCCATGTCAAACCTGCAGAAACACCTGGTTGCACTGTTTCTGTCTTCATCAAGAATCCACTAGTGGATCCACTAGCGGGTCAATATCCTGACAGGAGGCATCCTGGATTCCTTTCTCATTCTGTAGACCTGTAATTCCCTAGAGGGCAAGTTTACCATATCTTTGATAAGTCATATCCTGCACATGCACATCATGGGTGTGTCCCAAGTGTGGCAGACACAAGGAAATGCTTCAGGGACAATAATACCAAGGGTCATGCTTATGAAAGTTGCTGTGTGGAGTCCCCCTCATTTCAAACAAGCTCCCCATGAATTAGATTACCTGATGGGGACAAATCACCTCTCCTGGAGTTCTTGGATTCCTTTCACGGGGAAAGTTGGTACCGTTGAAAGTTCTACCTACCCCCCCAAACCCATGTGTCTGGTCTCTGAGCTGCTCCGCAGAAGATGGGGCAGTGACCCTCATTCCCCTCCCTGAAATTTCCTCTTTGAAGGGGCTCCACTGGCTGCATATGTTCCTTTCCTGAGGAAGAGCCTGGCCAAACCCTGTCACTCACCACCGGCCGGCTTATCTTCTGGGCTGTTGCGCAGGTGGTTCTGGCTGGGCTCTGTGGGGGGCTCCTCACTGGTGGGGCTGGTGACTCCGGGAATGGTGGGCAGGTCCCGCGGAGGTGTTTTGGTCACAGGTGAGTTCCGACACTCCATCAAGAACTTCCGGTCATAGATGATCCTGGTACCTGGAAGGGGGACAGGGGCATTGAAAAAGCCATCTCAAACCTCCTGCCTGCTTATTTTCCACTTCTTTGAGGCACGGCTGTAGCAGAGGCAGCAGGTTTTTCTGCAGAAGCTGGACCAAGGAGGAGTGAGGCTGGGGTGCCTGGCAGGTTCAGTCGGCAGAGCATGTGACTCTTGATCTTGGGGTCATGAATTTGAGACCCACCTTGGGGTTAGAGTTTACTTAAGAAAAAGAACGCAAAAAAAAAAAGGGAGGGGAGGAGCAAGGGAGACTCAGGACAATCATACCCAATACTACAGAAGGTACATGTTTTTTATTTATTTAAGAGAGAGAGAGAGTGAGCACTAGGGCGGGGGAGGGGCAGAGGGAGAAGCAGACTCCCCGCTGAGCAGGGAGCCCGACGAAGTGGGGCTCGATCCCAGGACCCTGAGATCATGACCTGAGCCGAAGGCAGACGCTTAACCGACTGAGCCACCCAGGCGCCCCAACAAGGTACATTTTTATTCGTTTTTCAATTCAGTCCTTACAGTACCCTCATAGGATACCCAGAATCTGTAACTCCATTTTACAGATGAGCGAACAGAAAATTGAGTGATTCCCCCAAACTAGTAAAAAATGAGAACTCTTCCCGCCTGGGCTTTGTGGACAGGAGTGATGCACAGGCTCCTGCTAAGCCCGTCTCGCCTGTGACACCTGCTCTGATGTGTCACCACACTCAGGGCTTGCACATGGTCTGTGTTCTATCCACTCCCTCTTTGCTCCCCTTTCCCAAGCTTCACCCCAGGGTGAGGACCAAGTCTCCTGCAGTTATTCACTACCCTTAAACCACACCCAGGACCCACCCTGTGAGGGCGGTTGCCTGAGTGATACCTTAAAAAGGAACAGTTTCTACAGTCAGGACCAAGGATTCTTGTGCCCCAGCTGATTTCATCAAAGAACAGTGACTAGTGAGAGGTGATTCATGTTGGGTCCTTGGTGACTCAGGATGACCTCTAAGCACCAGGATGGTAGTAGTAACATCTTCAACACCTCCCTCACACTTCTGATTCTTCCTTTTCAACAAAGAGCAGGCCTCAGGCTCAAAGCCTTCCGCAGGCAGTGGAATCCAGCTAGAATTTAAAACTGTCTTGGTGTCATTATATTTCTTTTTATAGTTACCTTCTATTTATGGTAAGTGAATCTGGTTTTCCATATATAGTCATGATATCAAGTTTCCTTTTAATATATGATATCACTGAACATGATAATAGTATGTATGTTATAAATAATACATATAATAAAATAAAAACTAAGTTAAAAAGGTAAAGGATATAAAGACAAATACTAAATATATATACAAACAGAAGACAAGGTACAGTACAAACTGCAGATGGAATTATGAGTGCCGGAGTTTAGAAGCGATGATTTTAAGACTTCAGGAATGTCCTTATCAATAAACCTGAAGTATTTTCCCCACTTAAGGACTACAGTGAGTGACATTCCAACAGTGGGGATCCACGTCTCCATGCTGAGCACCAGCCTGTGAGCGGCCCCAGGAAAGGAACCCATTTGCACCCCTGAGCTCTGAGTCTGAGTGCATGGGTTTGGGGTCCTTCTGCCGAGGGCTGGAATATGAGGAGCAGAAAAATGGTAAGGAGATACCAAAAGATGCACTTTCCCTCCTTTCATGTCCCCGTCTGGCTGTGGCCTTGCCTAGGCAGTTACCCCGTCTCGCTCTCCTTGCCTGACAGAGGCAGGAACGCTGCAGCCTTGTCATCATCACCCTGTGGGCCACAGTCCACAGCTCACATTTCCCAGTGGGAGGGTGTAAAGCAAAGCACACAGAACCCAGGCTGCCTTGGAGGCTCTGCTGCCAACCGGCTGTGTGACCCTGTGCACAAGGCCCTCTGCTCCTCCCCCGTCTGGGCCTCAGTTTCTTCATCTGTAACATGAAGGGCTGAGTGCTTATGGGCCCAGGAGGCTACAAATGGGTAACAACAGTGCCTTCTCCTTGAGGGTAAATGCCCTGGCTTCAGAGACGGACCACTCTTTGTTTCTTGATCCTCAAGGCTCGGCAAGAATCTGCCCTGTCCTTGCCTCCCTCCAGCTTTGCTTTTTTTGTTGCTTTGTCCACTAAAGAATAGGGAACTGACCCCATCAGAGTGGAACCTAAGAGTTGGAGATTCAGTGGTCTCAAAAAAGAACTGGGAAAGTCGGTTAAGTGTCTTTCTTTTAAGATTTATTTATTCATTTGAGATAGAGAGAGCACATGCACACATGTGCACGCAAGGGGACAGGCGGAGGGAAAGAATCCTCAAGCAGACTCCCCACTAAGCACAGAGCCTGACTTGGGGCTCAATCCCAAAACCTGAGATCATGATCTGAGGCAAAACCAAGAGTCAGACACTTGATGAATGGAGCCACCCAGGCGCCCCTCAGCATCCGATTCTTGGTTTTGGTTCAGGTCATGATCTCAGGGTTGTGAGCTCAAGCCCCACATCGGGCTCCGACCTGGGAATGAAGCCTGCTTAAGATTTTCTCTCTCCCTCTCTCTCTGCCCCTTCCCCACTTCTCTTCCTCTCTTATAAAAAAAAAAAAAGAGGGGCGCCTGGGTGGCTCAGCCGTTAAGCGTCTGCCTTCGGCTCAGGTCATGATCCCGGGGTCCTGGGATCGAGCCCCACATCAGGCTCCCTGCTCAGCGGGAAGCCTGCTTCTCCCTCTCTCACTCCCCCTGCTTGTGTTCCCTCTCTCGCAGTGTCTCTCTCTGTCAAATAAATAAATAAATAAAAATCTTAAAAAAAAAAAAAAAGAAAGAACGAACTAGGGGGTCAGCAGCTTCTGGAGAAGCTCTTTAAAGTCATGAGCCTCCAGAGATTTTTTTTACATTGTGGTAAAATACAAATAACATAAAATTTACCATCATAACCACTTCTAAGTGTACAGTTCAGTACATTCACAGGGTTGTGCAACCAATCTCCAAAACGCTTTCATCTTGTAAAACTGAAACTCTATACCCAGGAAATAGCAACTCCTATTTCCCTTCCCCTAACCCTTGGAAACCACCATTCTATTTTCGGTCTCTATGAATTGGGCTGCTCTAGGAACCTCATACAAGTGGAACCATACAGTATCTGTCTTTCTGTCACTGGCTTATTTCACTTAGCATAATGTCCACATGTGGACAATGTGTCAGAACTTCCTTACTTTTCAAGGCTGACTAATACTCCATTGCGTGGATATACCACATTTTGTTTATCCACAGACATTTAGGTTCCTTCCACCTTTTGGCTATTGTGAATAAATACTGCTGTGAACACGCGTGTGCAAATTGCTCTTCAAGATCCTGCTTTCAATTCTTTAATTGGAGTATTTTTTATTTTATGTACAGTGAGTTGACATTAAAGTAGGTATCCTGATTATCTGCAGTTAACGTAGGTTATCTTGGATGACCAATTCAAGGAAGTTCACTTAATCCAACTTAATGAAGCCTATATCCTTTGCGTACTGACGGAAACACGGGCGGCACATATTGAGGCCGTATTTCCAGGTCAGACCGTGCCGGTTTGAGCAGACGCGGCAAGAACGAGAACCCTGGCCAAATTTCCTCGGATGGCTCCAGTACAGCTGCTGGTGACCCATCTTGCTCTCTCGGATGCAACGAGGCAAAAAACCCTGCTTTCAATTCTTTAAGGGTGTATACTGGGAAGTGGCACCAGGCGATTTTTAAATCCTTAATTATACTTAAAAGAGAAAAAGAGCCTCTGTGCCTTTTGTCCCACACCTAGGGCAGTTGTTTAAAAGAAAGAATCCTCATTTGAGCTAATAAAACCCAGAAACTAAATGCCAACAGAGGCAGCACCCAAGACACCCACCATCAGAGTATTTTAGCTGGGGAGGGAGCCTGCAAGGGGTGTGGGATGGTGGTGTTCAGAAAGTCAGCTGACAAAGGCGCCAAGCCTTGGAGGGGACCCCAAGCCCCCTCTGACTCATCTGGGGTCAGTGAGGAATATGAGATGGCAATCAAGGTAGTGGAAATGTTTCCTATGGAAGCAGCTTTAGCTTTTCAACCCTCAATTCTTCCATCCCTTCATGGGATGCACCACCACACAGCTTCAGCCAACAGTGATCTTCTGGAAATTCCCTCTGTCTCCCACAGATGAGACAAACAAAACACACAGTCTCATATTGTCAAAAATAGGCACCCTTGGTTGAAATGCAGTCTACCAGAGCTGGGGACTTGGCCTGCATACAAGAACAGGAAGTAGAAACTGGGGGGGGGGCGGTGTGTGCCAAGGTCCCTGCAAGACACCGAGCAGCAACAGCTGGAGGGTGTTGGTCAGGTGTGGGCTCTGGGGTATGTGGGTATCACCCCTGGCAGTTTCCACATAATACTCTATAGCTGAGGGCCTACTCTCTCTTTCTATATTAGGGAAAATGACCCAACTCTGTTAGACTTCTACAAACAAGAGCATAAAGAGCTTCTGAGGCTCTAGGTGGCTTCAAGATGGCAAAGCCAAGACATTTTTTTCCCTGCTGCTTCTCTCAAAAATCATGCAAACACCAAGAAATAAAACAAGAAACAGAAGCACATACTCAAGTTGGAAGCAAGTGGGGCTCACCCCAAATCACAATATATGAATACAGAAAGTGAATGGAGGAATAGTTCTAACAGAGAGTTTGAGGGTAGCATCTAAATGCAGGGAGGTGGGGGTGGACATGACAATAGGAAGTGGGGTTCTGGAGGAACCCAGGAAGGTTCGGGAATTAGAGGCATAATGGAAAATGGGAATGGGGCTAACAATAAGGAGAGATGCCTTATGCCCCTCACTCCAGGAGGGAGGGGAGACAGGGAAATTAAGTTCAAGTTGACCTTCGGAATGGTGAGCCTCAAACGCCTAGCCCTTCCTGGCTTCAGAATAAAGAGCAAAGATAAAGACCGATTGATGCTGATTTTGGGAAGGGGGTTCTGGATGAAAAACAGGAGCTAGCCACCAGATTGAGCCTACCAGCCTCCACACCTCG